ACCTAAAAATAATATATAACATTTATTTAAACTTTTTGTAAGGAGGGAAAAGTGCTTATATGCAACATCATTTTATAAGCAACACCTCCAAAAATTATGCAATGCTTTTTGACGAGTATAACCAACAAGTACATGCTTTAATCATGACAAGTTTAATAGTCACATATACTCAGTCATGACGACTTTCGCATTGTAACAAATAGTATCACTTGTGACTCTTTTGTATCATTCCCAAATGTATTTCAAATGTTACTCGGTTTAATTTGTGATAAATGAGTCACCTCTACTACAATAGTTTTATTACAAATTATATTTTTGTGACAAAGCTATTCTTAGAGCTATGAAAGTATTGGTGACAGAATTTTATTAATCAGTTACATTATTATAAGTTCGGTTATATGGTGCCATTTACAATCGAAGCCCTTTTTTACCAACTTTTTTTGCAACATATCGATAATATTTGTGATTGTAGTAAAACTAATAGATTGGTGGTGATATCCTTTGGTGACAAAACCTAACCAATTAAATATACAGACTTTAATAGTGGTGAGGTAAATTATCATTATTGTCGACACAAATATATATTAAACGTAACATAACAATAACATGGTCACAAGGGTTAATAAGAGACATATCTTTTGTTGAATCTCCAATCTCTAATTCTCATTGTATAGTTTTTAGGTCGGTTCCACGGACTGCCAACTAGACTGTCTATGGAGTGACACGTAAAATGCTCTATTGCTGTCCTCTTTAGAATTTACGCCCTTCGATCTTTTGTATAGTAGCTTCACTAGGTATTGCTTTGAGTGAGTTTTGAATAGATGTTCTAAACTACGTTCTTTTCCCCTTGTCATTACTTGGAAAAGGAGAAGAAAAAAAACTGAATCGCTAAATGTCGCCCTAAGAATTGCTAAAGTTCGCCCTAACTTACAATTCAATTTACCTATATACCCTTAATGAAAATTTAAAAAATAGGCCAACCAAACAGCCCTTTCACCCTTCCACCCTCTCCCTCTGCAAAATCAACTCGCCGCCGGAGACCCTCCGCATCCCGTCGCCGGAGACCCTCTGCAACCCGCCGCCGGAGACCCTCAGCATCCCGCCGCCGGCCCGCCAAGTTGCCGCCGCCGCTCGTCCCGCCGCCGCCCGCCAATCGCCGCTTGTCCCGCCGCCCGCCTCGTCCCGTCGCCGACCCTCTGCATCTCGCGCTCCACAGTCGCCGCCGCCCGCCAATCGCCGCAAGTGACCTGCGGTTGGACCATGGCCGGACCGCAAATCACCTGCGGTTGTACCATGGGTGGACCGCAATTGACCTGCGGTTGGACCATGGCTGAACCGCAGGTGATTTGCGGTCCAGCCATGGTCCAACCGCAGGTCATTTGCGGTCCAGCCATGGTACAACCGCAGGTGATTTGCGGTTCCCTTTTTTTTTCGTTTTTCAGTTAATGTATTTACCTTGTCGGAGTCGCTACTCCGACGATATCGGCTTCAAAATGACGATGATGGATTTTTCTCTTCTTAGATAGTGTTTTTTTAGTCCAAGTGGTGTTTGTTTGATAAAGGGAAGGTAAAGAAGCTAAGGGGGTAAAAGTGTAACTTTGATTCTTTTTAGGGCGACCTTTAGCAATTTTAAGGGCGACCTTTAGCAACTCCCATTAAAAACATGTTGCATGCATTGAGAATTGTCGTCTCAGAAATGTGTGGATGGAAGGGCATGAGCTTGGATCTATAGCTTCGAAATTGTCGATCGATGGCCATATCTGTAGCTTCTGGAACCGATCGACGACCCTTCATCGCCATTGTTGGTGGAACGATTCGCATGCGCCTGATTTCGTTGACCGGTCTTTACAACAATCACCTTCAAGACTCTCTCCTCTCAGAAGTGAGATTTTGTGACTTGTTCACGACCAACTCCTTATATATATAATATCCAGTTTTGTTTATAACACTATCAAGAAGAAAATAAATAAAATAGGGGAATCTTTTACGTCATAACTGTAAATATGTAATTAGATTCAGTTTAAGGTTTTGTTAGTTTGTTATATATAGGAATTACAATGAGACATGTTAGAGCGGATATCTCGATATTCATATTCGTCTCATGATAAATTGGATATTTTGCATGACCACGGGTCGGGGCAGGTCTATATAAATAATATGTACTTTGAATGCAAAACACAAGAAACAATAATTATTTTCTTCAGTAAACAATCGAGAAGCAAACTATGACAGTATAATTGTAGTTATATTATTTACAAAATTGAGGTTTTTACCTATTTTCAACTTTAATATAGCTGAAATATTATATAAAAAAATATCAAATAATTTAAATAAAATTACATTAGATAATACGGGGTTAAGAATGAGACGACTTGTAACACCCTAACCCGGCCGGGAACTACTTTTACTAAAATGCCCTTAAAAAATAAAATACTCAAATCTTAAATTACCGTGGGAAAAATTTCATAAATAAAATACTGAAAACACACTCTTGTAGTTTAATGCAATACCCTAACATGCGGGCAAATTAAACTCAAACTTTAAAATCTCAATATGATCTCCAGTGTATACTCATAATCATAAAACGTAATAACCAACTAGTCTCAATTGGTGCTGCTCATATGAAACTCTGACTGGATATCCTCCAAGGCGCTCGTATCGTTCTCCTCTAGCTGGCCGCCCTCAAACTGGCTGCTCACTAACTGCTACTCTATCTCCTCCTCTAGCTTTTCAAACTGGTGAGTGAGATGGGGTCAGTCTACGCCCTTACGTTTGTACTTCCACTCTCAAAAATCTTAACTCTTAAAACTGTGCGGGAGCTAAATTTACTCTCCCTTCTTAAAGCTCAAATCTCAAGTTAAATATTGGACTGACACTGGGATCCCTCACTAGTAGAGGTGGCAATTAGGATCCAAATCCATGAATCCAATCCAATCCATCCACCAAATTATCCACTTAATCCAATCCATTTAAATCCAATCCATTTGATCCAAATCCAATTGGATTGGTGGATTCATGGATCAATCCATGGATCCAAATGGCAAATTACGATTTGGTACCTATATTTTTTATATTTTACATTTTGGTACCTAAAAATTATATTTTTATACGAAAAATATCATTGGAAAATTACATTTTGGTACCTAAAATTTTTCATTATAACATTTTAGTACCAAAACTTTTCAAATTTTACATTTTGGTCCAAGCCTTTGATGTCATTTAGATTCATGGATCAATCCACCAATCCATTGGATCCAATCCATGAATCCACCAATCCATTGGATCCAATCCATTTGATCCATGGATCCACCAATCCAATCCACGAATCCACGAATCCGATCCAATTGCCACCTCTACTCACTAGCTAGTCCGATTGCCAACTCATACGTATGAGAGCCCATCCAGGCTTTTCTTAAACTTAAACTTATCGTGGAAGGCTCTTCTTCCACGATTATCAAGAGCATAACTGCTGCTTATCTTAAAATATCTCAAGAGCATAACTGATGCTCATCTTAAAAGTCTCAAGAGCAAAACTGCTGCTCCATCTCAAAATCTCAAATGGCAACAGACTAGCGCTAGTGACTAAAAACTCTTAAAACAGTTTCACCTTCTTGAAGATGAAGTACTTCTTAATAGAAAACGTGTTCTTAAACTTTAACTTACTTATAAATAAAGCACGCATTATAATATGTGTAACTGGAAGCACAAATCACATGCATCAAATAAACACACAAAGGCAAATATAGCACATAGCAGTCAATCTCAAAAACTGAAATACCGTAAGGCATAGAATTTACCCCCTTTACGCTTTAATTCTATGCTTTACGATTTTACCCTTTTTCCGCTTCTAGGTAGAATCACGTTTTTGACTGCATTGCATAAAAATTTCATCATAGAATGTTGCATTCTAAAACAATTTTTGTATGGTGAATCTTTTTTTTTTCTTAAGTTCTGGAGTTCCAGGATCCACTTGGTCAAATAACAATGAGAATGCATATGCGGATGAGTTTAGCAAATATGGGTAGGATAAATTTTTTTTTTTTTTTACAAAAGATAATCATATATTGATACCAAAATATAGATAGTTACACCCTGGATCCAAGTCAGGTCCGAAAATCAAAAGAACGACTCATAGTCGGGTACAAAAAGAGGGTTTTGCTAGCCACCATATGGGCTACCCTATTACTACTCCGACCTATAAATCGCACACTAAACCCAGGGATGCTACCAAAATAATGTAAGACTTCTTCCAGCACAGTAGGATAAAACTTGAAGACCTCACAAACTACAAAATTCAATTATCTCCTTGATAATGAAAGCAGATAATTTTTTTAAGTCAACAAAATGTTTTTTTTTAGTAAATATGGGTAGGATAACATTTTTGGTTTATTAGATAAACCCTTTAACAGAGGTCTAAATTAGTTATACAACTGAATAAACAATGATTTGACGAATAACTTTATAATTCAATTTGTATTGGAAAAAATGCATAGAACCCCATTTACTCAAATTCGGAATGCAGCATTGCCAATCCTCTTTCACTTTTTCTGAAGCTATCAAGAAATAAAGAATATAATTTTGACATTATTCTTAAAAGTTTACAAATCATATAATTATTAAATAAATATATTATTTTAAATATATAAAAAAATATTATTCACGAACGAATACCCCTCTTTATTCCACACGGTCGAGGAAGTTTCTAGTGTCTTCCCCTTGGGGCGAATGTAGCCAGCCCACGAAAAGTCGTCCATTTCTCCGCTGACTGACCACCTTTGGGCCCAGGCCCAGGCCCCCAGTAGCCCAACTTCTTCCACAATTTGGTCAACACTAGGTCTTCTTCCTCTCTAACTTCAACTTGTAATGATCCCTTTACGCGGCACTGTCACTTCCGCAGAACTTTCCGGCGAGACACGACGCCCTGATCAATTCTTTTGATCAGAATAAAGAGAAGCCGGAAATGTTAATTTTACAGAGGAAAAAACAAAACTCTCCCACCGATGACAACAAGATTCGGATTGCATTCCTTCTTGTCCCTTCTCTGCTTCATCTTATTAACATTTTCCATTAGCGCACAGCAACAGGACACTCTCACGATCGGCCAATCACTAACCGACGGCCAGTCTCTAGTCTCATCCGGCGGCAGCTTCCGGCTGGGCTACTTCCGGCCGGAAAATTCCAGCAGCCGGTATTTGGGGATTTGGTACGGCGCCAGAGTACCGACTCAAACGGTCGTATGGGTCGCCAACAGAGGAGCTCCGATTTCCGACACCGGAGGGTTCCTCAACCTCACCAGGGAAGGAATCCTCGTCCTCTCCGACGGCGGCCGGAACAACCTCGCCGTCTGGTCCTCCAACGTGACCAGAAGAGTGTCTCCGACGAGTGGATTCGTCGCCCAGCTCCTGGAATCCGGCAATTTGGTTGTTAGGGACGCCGCCGACGAGAACCCGGACAACTTTTTGTGGCAGAGCTTCGACTACCTCACCAACTCGCTCCTCCCGGGGATGAAGATCGGGAGAAACCTGACGTCCGGTCTGAACCGGACGATGAGGTCGTGGAGGAGCGGGGAGGACCCCGCGGAGGGTGACTTCTCCGTCCTCATCGAGACGGAGGGTTACCCTCAGCTGTTGGTACGGAGGGGGGCCGCGATCCAGTTTCGTGCTGGATCGTGGAACGGCCTCCGTTTCACTGGGGTTCCGTCCCTGAACCCCAGTCCGACTTTCTCGTTCGAGTACCAATACGACGAGGGACGGGAGGTCTATTTCAGGTTCGCGGTGCCCAACAACACGGTCGTGTCCAGATACGCGATCTCCACGTCCGGGCTGCTCCAGCATCTGACGTGGAGCAACCGGACGGGGGAGTGGATAGTGATAGGCACGGCCCAGGGGGACCGGTGCCAGAACTACGGGTTGTGTGGGACCTACGCGAACTGTTACGGGTCCCGGGCCCCGGCCTGTGAGTGTCTTACCGGGTTCAGCCCGAGGAATCCGGGCGACTTCAGCCGGTCCGCGTGGGAAGAAGGGTGCGTCAGGAGGACTGCGCTGGCTTGTAATTCGAGCGATGGATTCATCTTGCATTCGAGTGTCAAGCTGCCGGACACGGCCGTGACACGATGGAACCGGACGATTGGGCTGGCGGAATGTCGGAGGTTGTGCTTGGGGAACTGTTCTTGTACTGGGTATTCGAGCTTGGACATAAGGAATGGCGGGAGCGGGTGCTTGATGTGGTTCGATGATCTGATTGACATTCGAGAACTGGCGGATCGTGGGCAGGATTTGTACGTCAGGGTGGCCGGGTCGGAAATACAAGGTAAAAAAAAAAAACTAAATGCATAATTTTGTTTTTGATTGCGGTCTTTATAACACCTCAAATATTCATACTTGTTCGCATCAAATGCGATTTAGGCGGAATAAAATTAAAATCTATGTTGTTACAAGTCAGGACGGTCGAGCAGGTCGTTCCTTTGATTTACAATTTAAAGTTTATCAACTCATTTGAGAGCTCGTTATTCTTACGACGAATTAGAGCTCATTATTTTGGCTAAAAGTACAAAGAATCAACAGAGAAGTTCTCTAAGTACATGTCTAGAAATTGGAGATTCTGAAAGCTAGGCTAATGAGTTAATAGCTTAAGTTTTTTTTTGACAGTTGTTAATAGCTTAAGTTGAAAAAGAGAAATTGCCAATAAATCCACACATTGCAATACTTACATATTTCTTGTCCTCCCTTTTATTTACACCAAACTAAGTCTTATTATGTGCATGTTGGACACTTGATATAAGATTGAGCACAAACATGTGTCACCTTCCTTTTCTCCTCTGCCTCTCAACTCAACAACCTCTTCCTCATTTTGTTAACCACATTTCGTTAACCACCTTAACTGTTAGACATATAATTAGTATAATAATAATTAATAATGTTAGGGTTTGGCGGCTAACCTAGGCCAATTATGGTTAACATTCATGATTCCAACGTGTATGATACTATTGAGAGAAAGAAGAGTGATAAACATTATCTTCCTCATGTTACCCCAAGATACTCCATCCACAATGTGAGTGGGAGGGGAAAGTGGGAAAATAGGAAAAAGAGAGAAAAATTGATGTTTTGATCACAATGTGAGGGGTGGGAAAAGTGGATAATTAGTTTAACACTTTGTTGTTAAAATCAATTTATAGTTGATTTGCTTACTTTATTTGTATATAATGATCTTTTTTTTTACGTAGTTAGTGATAATTAATTAATACGAACATTTCGATATAATTTTTTTAAAATTTGGACATAATTTTTTCATAACTAATTAAATATAACGTCATTAATTTTGTCCATTGCGGATAAAACTATTCAAAATACCTCACAATAAAAGAAAATCATTAAAACAAATAAATTAGAACAAAAAAAATTGAAAAAACAAATTATATGCGGGCCCGACAATGGCCCCCTCCTCCCTCCATTGCATCCACCATTTGTTTGTTAGTGGGTGGGTATTCCCACCCAATTTTCCCCCTTTCTCCATTTTTCCCACTTTTCCCACCCACATTGTGGGTTATTTTCCCACTTTCCCCCCTAAACCCACCTACATTGTAGAGAGTAGAGTAGGGTAATACTCCAACGTGGATTAAATCGGACAATATTAGGCAAGACGGGTTTAGATTACTCACTGTTCTCACATATACATAACCTAAGTTAATTATTTTATTTAAATTTGTGTTTCAGGAGTAATTCAAGGAAGTCAAAGGAGAAGGATCATCGTGATCGCCTCAGTGGTTTCGTCACTAGTGGCTTTGCTAGTCACTTTCGGGATTCTGCTTTATGCTAGAAAAAGGAAACTTAAGCAAAAAGGTAACTCCCATCCCATGGTGAACGAATTTTCCCTCATCAACATGGGCTATTCCATAGCTAATTTACTTCAACTTGTCCCTACTGATTTCTGGCACTGTGATCCATTCCTATTTGTGCAGAAACACCCAAGACAAATGAAGAGATGGATCTACCGACATTTGATTTGAGGACAATAGTGGATGCCACAAATGACTTTGCCATTGGCAATAAACTTGGAGAAGGTGGATTTGGACCCGTCTACATGGTAAATGTTCGATAAGATAGAAATACTCAGTTTTCAACACCCTTTGAATTTTGACATGACATCCACGGGGTGCAGGGAAAACTTCCCGAAGGACAAGAAATCGCGGTGAAGAGACTCTCAACGAGCTCGGGACAAGGGACGAGCGAGTTCAAGAACGAGGTCATTTTGTTCGCCAAACTCCAGCACAGAAACCTTGTCCGATTGTTGGGTTGTTGCATTCACGATGACGAGAAGATGTTGATCTACGAATACATGTCCAACAAAAGCCTAGACTTCTTCATTTTCGGTGAGAAGCCCTAACGCCTCCTCTTTCCAAAACTTTACCAAGTTCTACATAATTTTAAGCATAGTCTTCGTGTCGCTAACAGTTTCATACTTTCTATCGGTTCAGACGAGACTCAAAGGAAACTATTGAACTGGCAGAAACGGTCGATAATCATTGACGGGATCGTTCGAGGCCTGCTTTACCTCCACCAGGACTCCAGGTTGAGGATCATCCATCGAGATCTGAAAGCCAGCAACATCCTGCTCGACAAGGAGCTGAGGCCTAAGATATCCGACTTTGGCCTCGCGAGGACGTTCGGAGGAGATCAAACAGAGGGCGAAACAAAAAAAGTCGTGGGCACGTTGTAAGTAATTCATGCACATGCATCTCTTAACTGCAATTTAATTTTTCCATGAATGGATGGGTTTGAACTCTCAAGTCCCTTATTCTCTCTCTCTCTCATGTTTGTTCTTCAGCGGCTATATGTCTCCGGAGTATGCGGTGGATGGTCTCTTCTCGGTCAAATCCGACGTGTTCAGTTTCGGAGTGCTGGTTCTTGAGATAGTGAGCGGTAGGAGGAACCGAGGATACTATCACGTTGACCACGACCTCAATCTTGTCGGCCACGTAAGTCCTTTCATTTGCATAGCTATAACTAATAAATGTCCTCGTAATCTCTAATTAGAACATGATCGTCACACAATCAACTTGGTGGTGGTATTAATCGTGTGCATGTTGCATGTTCAGGCATGGACGTTGTGGAACGAAGGGGCGGCGCTAGGGCTGTTAGACGATTCTTTGAACGAGAGTTGCAACCAATCGGAAGTGTTGAGATGCATCCACGTGGCGTTGCTGTGCGTGCAACAGAGGCCCGAAGACAGGCCCAACATGTCGGCGGCGGTGCTGATGTTGGGCAGTGAGAATCCTCTGCCGGAGCCCAAGCTGCCTGGATTCTACCTCAGAAGGAATCCGCCGGAGGCGGCCGACTCTTCTTGCTCTGCTAATCAGGTCTCTATAACAGTGATGGAGGCCCGGTAGTTAAAGAGTAACGCGTACGTGGATTGTTTTCGTTCAAACTTTTGAGGAGGGTTTGAAGTTGAATGTAAAAGATTGGAAACAAGGACGAATTCTTGATAGAAAAAAATTAGGGTTTATGCCACATTTGGTCACTGAGATTACTAAATTGTGTCATGTTTAGTCACTAGAAAAATTTAATATCAATTTTTGTCACTTGAATTACTGAAACACGTCACATTTAGTCACTCTCCCGTTAGTTTCTATCCAATTCCATTAATGGAGTTGGACGGAAACTAACGGGAGAGTGACTAAATGTGACATGTGTCGGTAATTCGAGTGACCAAATGTAACATGTTTAAGTAATTCGAGTGGCCGGAGTTGGACGGAGGCTAACGGGAGAGTGACTAAATGTGACCTGTTTTAGTATTTCGAGTGACCAAAATTGATATTAATTTTTTTTTAGTAACTAAACATGACACGATTTAATGATCTCAGTGACCAAATGTGGTATTTACCTAAAAAAAATTACGATCCAAACTGAATTTTTACCTTTTTTGTTATGATACAAATTTAGATTGTAACTATACATAGACAGATTTATTGCACAACTTGGATGAATACTTATAAATTAGTTCCTCATTTAATTAATCTCACCTCCTCCTCTGACATCAGGACATGCCCATGTGGCCATGCACGTATATAGATATGTAGGATTGGGGAGTTGGGGGAACAAAACAATTATAATTTAAAAAAATAGATAATTATAACGTAAATGCCACCTTCATTACTTAAATTGGCCAAGAGGGCTTTGATTGTCTAGTTTTCATCTGGGCAGCTTGCATTCTCTATCCTTTGGTTTTATTGATGCATTATTTGCTTGCTGTCCACCTTCCTCTCATCATTAAGTCAACTTTGCTGGCTGCATTTTGATCCACTGATCGTTCAACGGTAGGCTGCTTTATTTAGTTCTCCTTCTTCATCTACATTCTACCAAGCTTGGCGCCCGGCCGCCACCTCAATAGCTTTTTGTATATGTTTTTCTTTTTGTTTATTTGCAAATTATTATCATTCCAACAACATGAAACCCTACTTAAATTATAAAAAAAAAACATGAAACCCTACCAATTAATAAAAAAAAACCCCTAAACAACCAAAAATACTTAAAATAAATGGAGAAAAACTTGATAAAGCTGGTGATTACATATGACAGAATATACTTCCGGAAGGTTGTCTCCTGCCTGCCCACGGATTCAGCAGCAATTTGAAAGGTTGACCAATTTGGGAATCTCCAAACTTTAATTTTCAACTTTCCGAAGCATTTCATCACTTACTAGTTGTTTACACCTAAAATTAATTCGGCCGGGATTAAATGCCGCATTAATTAGTCTCGGCATTTAATTCGATACCGTGGGTAAAAAACGGTGTCGTTTGTGAGTCGAGCGGTATCGCGGGAAGTTAAAACGACACCGCGAAACTAAAAACGGTACCGCAAGGAATCTCAACGGTACCGCAACGCTGGAAACGACACCGCTTGCCGAAAAATAAAAAAAAGAGGGCCGTGTGTTTAATGGGGTTGAAGGAGGAGTCTTTAATTGTTTAATTATTATTTTTTATTCCTTGTGAGAAGCGGCACCGCGGGGAGTTAAAACGGTACCGCGAAACAGAAAATCGGTGCCGCGAGGAAGCTCGGCGGTACCGCGGAACTGGAGAGGGGCCGTAGGTGTTGGGGAAGGAGTTTTGTTTATAATTAATTAATATTTTTATTCCTTGTTGGAAGGGGAAAATCGGTACCGCATGGAGACAAGCGGTATCGCGGAGAGTTAAAACGGTACCGCGAGTAGGCCCAACGGTACCGCGGATTAGCAAACGACAGTGTTTAATAATAAACAGTGTCGCGGAAGAAAAAACAAACGGAGCTGGTTGGGAAAGAAAACGACACCGCAAGGCTGGAAGCGGAGTCGTTTAATGTTAAAACGATGTCGCGGGTAGAATCAAGCGGTGCTGCTCAGTTAAAAACGACACCGTTTAAGGCATCAACAACGCCGCAGTATCACTAAGCGGTGTCGTTTAGTTAAAAACCATACCACAATGGTTTGGATTTTGGCGAGGCCTGGCAAGCACAACGGTGCCGTTTGGTTGAAAAAGAAACAATGTCGCGGAATGGAAAACGACATTGTTTGTCAGCATCGATTAGTGAAAGGTGAGGCCGCGGTATTGGTGAAATGACATCGTTGCATGGACAAGGTTGTAGGATTTGGCTCAATGTCGTTTCGCCATGTTTCTGCAAACAGGAGCGGTTTCGATGGCACGTGATTTTTACGCAAAGCAGAAAGAGGAGATCAAGGCAGTTGAGACACGTGGGATTTCACAACGGAGCAGTTGAGGAAGCGGTTCCACCGAGCGTGAAGGCTACGAAGCAGTTTTCGAATAAAAGCAGTGGAGCAAGGAGAGAGAAAGGAGAACCAAATCAACACAGAAACACATCTGTCAAATTTTACCTTTTTTCTCTGTAACTCCTTCGCGGAGCTCTCCTTCCAGGAAGGATCTCCATAGTTGTAGTCTTAGTCGTAGTCGCGGAGCTCTCCACAGGAATCTCCATAGGAGTAGTCGTAACGTAGATTCCTCAAAAACTCAAACACCCTCGTTCGAACGTAGTTTGGAGAGGTGCGAACCGTAGTAACGGTCGCGTTGGTTAGAAGTCCGAGGTGAATCGATCAAATCAACACCGCCGACATTCGGTGGCGGATATTTGACGGTCACGTCGATTTCACCATTCAGAGGTGCATCGATCAAATCAACGGCGCCGACATTCGGCGGCGGATATTTGACGGTCGTCTCGATTTCAGCAAACAGCGGTGCATTCGATCAAACGGCACCGCAAGAGTTTCCACCGCGAAACATCGAATCAACATCGCCGGAAACGAATTCGGCACCGGCGGTGGCATTTGGTTTTTTCGGGGAAACACTAGTTACTACACCCTTCCTGATCATCTCTAGGTGCCCCCCTTTCATCCTGAGGCGATAGAGGTATCGTACCATTGTAGCCATTTTCATAAATTTTTTCTAGAGGTCTGGAGAAATTCGCAATCAATAGGGTTTTCTTATTTATTATTGCAACAATATATATTCTGCAGTTGGCAAACAGTCACATCACTGTTGTTATTCTTAATTATTTAATATACTTATATATGTATTCGGGCAGCGGCAGGTAAGGTGGTACGTTGTTCATATCACAAGAGGAGTTGACTTGAGGAAATGGTTACATTAATTAATCTTTCTAATTATTCCTTAATTACCTGATATATTTTTTTCTGGGTACAACCCGATCTGGAACATTTATAATGTTTCAATCCAAATTCCAAACACTAATCAGATACTAAAAAGGGTGGGTGAATGAGATAGCTGCTATAGGTCTTCCTCTACAATGTTTTCTCCAATTATATGATTTGCGGCCTTAATTAATTAATTAGAGGATATATTCAGGCCTCCTCGTACTGGATCCTGTTTTCAATCCATTGAGGCGGCTGGCTTCCAAGTTCTTTAGCACAACTAGCTAGCTACGTAATACAGCCGGCGCCAAGAAAAACTAGCCATTATTCTTGTGCTGGTTTGGTATGATTTAGTTGTGCTTAACCTCAAAATACGAATCATCTAAATCCTTAGTTCATTAATGGGATTTTAATAAATTTGAAGTATTTTATTAATTCATAAATTGAAAATAGAGAAATGTAAAGGTGTAAAAGAAGAAAATACAGCTAGAAGGACACCACACTATAACACGTACTAGACAGAAAAAAAAAATTTAAATAAAGAAACCCCTTAGAGAAATTATTAGAAAGACAAGATAATGAATAAGAGTTGTTGTGGCAGAAGACAACATAAGCAAACAATTCAAAATCCTCCTTATTCTTCGCTAGACGTCAATAATGCAACATATTTTGTATGATGTAGAAATCTTGTGTAATCAACTCAGCAAGGCGGGTGAAAAACGAACTAATATGATAACTAGGGGGAGGCACATGGGTGGTTAAACCGCGGATTGGTATCGATTCACCCGCAAATAACTTGATATGCAAGTAGTGGGTGATTGATGTAAGTGGATTGCGGATTGATAAATCTCCCACCACTTATGCGGGTGGGTGGATTGCGGGTCACCCGTATGACCCGCATCCTATTTTCTCATGAATAAATATTGTTTTTTTATAGTAGAATATTCATCATATATATTTCCGAACCACACTATAGTCTGATCATATACTACTAGAAGTGGAGAATAAAAAACTGTTTTGACAACTATTCTTGATTATTGTGTTGTGTAATATCCATTAAATAATGTATATTGGGATGCAAATTATTGTTAATATCCATAAAATATTGTGATGAAAAATATAAATTATTAATTGTATTTGTATGCGTAAGTTTTATCTACATAATTTGTTGATAGAGTGATAAATTTTTTGATGCAAATACTACATGAATTCACTTGAGACAAGGTGAGAAGTGTCAAATTAAAATAGTCTTACTAATTTCTTATGAACTTATTATAAATAGGGTTAATATTTTTGTATGGCCAGAACTTTGACCAAAATAAACATCCTGGCCAATCTTTTCGATCTATAACATACTGGCCCGAACTATACACCAAAATAAACAATTTGACCAAACCCGATGTTTGACCATTAACTTGGACGGTCAAACGCGTTGACTAACGGTCAACGCGCCATGTCACTGCCAAGTTAGAAGATTTGATAAATATTTAATTTTTTCGTTTTTTATTTTTGGTTTAACTAAGGTATTAGATGATTTTTTTAATTTATAATAATTTAAAATTAGGGAATGTGTGGAAATTGTGAATTATTTTTAAATATTTTATGCTGACTTGGCAGTGACATGGCGCATTGACTAACAGTCAACGCGTTTGACCGTCCAAGTTAACGGTCAAAAGTCGGATATGGCCAAATTGTTTATTTTGGTGTATAGTTCGGGCCAGGATGTTATAGATCGAAAAGATTGGCCAGGATGTTTATTTTGGTCAAAGTTCAGGCCATACGAAAATATTAACCCTTATAAATATTAGTAAACTTTCTTAATGGATAGTTGAAAATTTTCTTTTGCGGGTTAACCCACCACCCAACCGCACGATCATCCG